CCCCTGGCGGGCCACACGGGAGCCACCCGCGGGCCTTGTGTTTGACACATGTGATTTAATGAATTGACAACGTTCTAAGCGGGTGCAAGAGGAAATCGCTTCAGTCCACAATAACCAATAGGGACACATCTTACATAGCTCCTCCTTAGGTGCTGCCCTATTGGATGGATTGGGTAAAAAAAGCCTGTCTGTGACTGGGTGGTGATGTGGTTCATTTACGTACAACTTGAGTTGTGAGCGCAGAGACAGAGCTGAGAGYGAGCAGAGGTAAGGTTGAGAGGAGGGAGGGAGCTGAGCACAATCAGGAAGAGAGTTGAGCAAGCAGGGAGGAAGCTGCGTGAGCGTGTGTGTGATTTGAACACACACAGGTTCAAATTGTTCTTTATTCATATTGATATCTGCTCTCAAATCAGTGTTACTGCTCGCTGAAGCTGATGGTATAAATGTAACGCCATACCCCCCTGGATGTTCATGCTCAACTGAGCCAACTAATGGTAGTTTTATTTCAACAGGATTGAGTTGTTGGTTTGTTTGACCAAGCAAATTGAGTAGGTTTTCTACCAAAACTTGGGTTAAAATAAGTAGTTAGATGATTTAAAGCTTTTAGTAAGTTGAGTTAAACCAAACAACTCCARAATTTGCCCTATTAGATAACTATAATTTGTGTTTGTGTTAGCTATCTGGCACTAACTGTTGTTAGCATCAGCTAGTGAGCACCAAAAGTTATTTTAAGAAAAACAAAATCAGTCTAGTGCAAAATACAGTTGTAAACAAAGCCAACCAGATTTAATGTCTTATTTTAAGTTGTCTACTGTCTTACCTTTATTTATTCCATCATAAACCAGAAGTTCTTTGATTCTCTAAAGCCTTGAGGCACCATTCAGAGTATCAACAGTTATCAGTAATAATGATATAAAATGATGAGTATACCAGGTCCTTCTGCTTTGACGATAGCCTCAGGTGAGATGCAGACTCCTCGATCATACAGTGGCAGCTCACTGCAGGCCAGGCTGTCAGGCCAGCTGTGGTTGTATCGCTTCATCACAGGCTCACAGCCGGACTTGGCCCGCTCACACACTGCCTTGCAGGGCTTGATAGGCTCATGCTGGAAGTCAATGGTGCAAATGGGAGCGTACATGGCACACAGGAAGAAGAGTAAGTCTGGACTGCATCCAGTACCTGAAAAGACAGGAAGAACAGGTGTTTTATTCAACAACTAAGATTTTTTTTAATTTATATAACATGTACATCCAAGACAATATTTAGTTTAGTTATGTTTTAAGGCAACCCACAGTTTCCAAAGGTCATAATGTCAAAACCACTACATGTTTAAATCAACACTGTCTTTTTATTGCGAGAGCAGAGACTGTGTATTTTTACAGTTGTGTAGCGCTCACCTTCCTCACCTGTTGCTGCTGGTTGTCAGTCACTTGTGTTAGTGGCTGACAGATGGGAATCTCCTAARCTTTCTTTGAGGTAAAAACAATTTTTCACATACTTTTGGATTGTAAAAACACAATCAACCATGGATTCAGTACCAAAAGGGAAAMACTCATTTCTCTATTTTTAATAAACATACAAAATTGCAACAAGCAGCCAGGTATCAGGGTGATTAACAGCTAATTCACTGGTGAACAGTGAGTTAGCTAACACAAACTATGGTTTGTTCTTGAGAAAAAGGGCCAGATATTATATGATATTTTTCTTCTTTCTGCTGTCTTTCATTTTATTTGAGATTTGTATTTTTCTCGTCTATTGTATAT